TTTTCCTAAATAATACACATGACAGAAAAGTCACACAAAAATTTTAGAATTTTTGGAGCTCTAAATAAATCTACACAAAAATAACAAAAACAGATACTATTCATTCAATTATGAAAATAGAAAAATCCCATTTGAACGTTGTGTCACTGACACCATGACCCCACATGTCATCTTCCACCTCCGACATTGACCACGGCAGCAATGGCTCTGACCGGCGATTCCTCACCGACGGTGTGGTCACCGGCGACAGACAAAGCTCTAATACGTTCACGACAATATGCCACATCTATTGGTCGCAAAATCAAGACCCAACATCGACTGGACCAAGCACAACGCCGGCCATGGCAGACGCGAATGCATGGCGGTGCTACGCTGGCGACAACAGGCTGGTAGCAGTTAAACAAAAGGTCTAGGAAGCATCAGTAGCTTACCCCGAACAGTTTGGAGTCAATTACCGAGCCTAAGGAGCAACAGCAAGGTGGTTCGACGATCAACAATAAGCATGCGGCGAGCAAAACATCGTCGGTGATGGTGTATGCGCGACTGCAGATGGTCAAAATGAGCAACCAACTATGGATTAAGTACCACGGCATCAAGGCGAAGCGGAATCAACCAAAACCAAGGACGGAGATGCACCGTGGAGCTCTGGCCACGGCGAATCGTGCTCGGCGGAGGTGTTGCCGGCCGCGAGGAAGAAGACGATGCAACTCGAGTTCCCGGCTAAGACAAGCGAATTGAATTGGTGGGTCGAATGGACGCGCGCAAGCAAGGAAGTGCGAAGCTGGAACTAGCTTATCGGCTATGGTGGAGCACAACAATGACGGCTGGGCTCTGGGAGATGAGCAAGCGTCGAAAAAAAGCAGAGCAAGGAGAAAGGGCAAAGACGACGGCGGCTTAGGCTATAAAAGGGGGCCAAGAAGCTCGAGGAAGAAGCTGCTTGCTGTGGCTTTCTTCTTGCCCATGATATGACCAAAACAACAACCACGACCGCACTGGAATGCCGAAGAAGGAAACGCCGGCAATGTAGATTCGGCGGTGGACACTGTTCACAAAAATTACATATATGCCATTCACCAAAATTCCCAAATTACTCCCAAATTTTCATAACACCTCAAAAATCTCCAAAAACAAAAGTTGTTCAAAATTTAAAGTTCTACAACTTTTCTTTTATAACCAACCCCTAATTCGGTCTACATTTTGAAATGAACTTTGGAATTCAAAAAGGGGACATTTAAGGAATTTCGCCTTTTCAATTAACTTCAAATTTTACTAAACAACTTGAAAAACTTCAAAAACAAACTTTGTATATCATGACAAGATCTACACTTTTGCTTTAAGGCTCAACCCCAAAATGTGCTTTGATTTTGAAATAGGTTTTCAGGGTAGGATTTAATTATTGAAAATCAGGGTTTTCGAAATTTCAAATCAATACAAAGATTTCGAACTTGATTCAAACAATACCAAGCAATACTTATAACATAAAGATAAACTTGTTTTAGTGAATTCATATCAAAGTTTGTAACATGACCAATGCCTTGCAATGCATATGATGATATGTCCAGTTTTTTTTAATATTTAAACACCCAGGGTGTTACACCACGGTGGTGGGGGCAAAGCGGAGGCAGTGGCACTCCGACGAGGTGCGGTGCGGCAACGCAGGGCTCCGGTGGGCTTCATCCTCGGCTAAGGTGAGCGCGGTGTGTCTCTCATCATGGCGGAGCCAGTCAGGGTGTCAACGTTGCCTTTACTGCGACGTAGAAGACGCGGTGGTCTCGCCATGGTGGTGCTCTGGCCATGGTGAGCGCGTGCGTGCGTGCGATGCGTATGCATGGCATGAGCAGAGCGCTCGGTGCTGGCGTTCCCGAGCAGAGGGCTCGGCGTCGCCCCCTTTCTTCCCTTTGCTTCGTGTTTCCGTTTGGCTCAATAAGAGGGTCGTGGTGGTCCTTCTATGCTATCGGTTGGCTAAGCCGGAGCAAGAGCTCATGCTCTGGCATGGTCCATTCATGGCGTCCGAGAGGCTAGGTGTGGTCGTGCCGGTGTTCCCGAGCCGATAGGGGTCGGTGAGGCCAGGCCTTGGGTTTGTGCGCGTGCGGTGCGTGTGCAGCGTGTCCAGGAGCGAGAATGCTCTGCCTCTAAGTCCCCTAGGTGCGGGAACACGGTGGCGTTCATGGCAAGTACGGCTAGCGCGGTGAGCGGCGAACGACGTGGCTCACCGTAGGGCTCATGGCGGTAGGATGGCGGTGCGGTGGCGAGGCGAGGCCGTGATGAGGCGATGCAGTGCCGAGCAGCTACGCCGCTGTAGCCGATCAGGGTGGCGCTCCTAGCTCCGGCAAGGTCCGGTTCCACAGCGGCTTCCTTCTCCTTCTTGCTCCTTCCTCCTCCCTCTCTCTCGGCTTGATGCGGTGTGGTGCTGTGCCACCAGCGGCGGCGACGAAAGGGCTGAGGGTTAGGGCTCGCGGGCATTGGCTTTTATAGCCAAGCTCCAAGGGCTCCAATGGCGGACGGCGATCGGGCGGTGGTGATGCGTGCGGCGCATCCGACGGCTCGTGTGCGGTAGTGTAGGCGCGGCACAAGGGGAAACAGGGTCATGCGATGTGCGTGACCCCGGGCCCGCGTCTGCTCCATGGTCGGCTCTCGGTCGCGTGGTGGAGGGAGCGTGGGGAAGACGACGATGCTGTAGCTGGGTGGCTGACAGAGGGGGCCCGTTTGGCAGCTTGTCCTGATGTGGCGGCATGCGGTGCATGACGGCTGATGGGCGGGTCCGGCTTGTCAACGGCTGTGCGCGTGAAAGGGCAGGCGAGGCTCGGCTGGGCTAGCTAGGCCGGTCAAGGTAGGATGAGCTGCTCCCTCTTGTTTCCTTTCTCTTTTATTTCTTTTGCTTCGATTCAAATTTAGTTAGAGTTTAAACTTGAGCTTCGAGTTATGTAGTGGGTCCCTCAAGGTGTTTTAAAAGGTGGTCAAAATACATCCATATATTAGGGTTTATTATAAATATTAAGTAAGTTAGTTAAACATCACATAAGGCAAAAGATTCCAAATCACAAGTGGAATTAAGGATGCATGCATGATTTGTTTATTTAGGAATTTAATTACACATGTGGCATAAAACCAAACTATGCTTATGATTTTAACCTAGTTGGGTCACATCTAATCCAAAACTAGGGTTTGGCTTCTACATGTGTCACTCAACATCACATAGGGTTTAAATAAAAAATTTTGTAGTTGTGATTTTTGGTGTGTGAATTTTTTGGTTGTTACAGCAGCAGCAAAGGACTGACGCGTCCATCACTTGGACGTTAAATCGGCCTTCCTCAATGATGAGCTGGCGGAAACGGTCTTCGTCAGGCAACCTCCAGGTTTCGTCGTCAAGGAAGAGGAGCACAGGGTGCTTCGACTGCGCAAGGCGCCCTACGGCTGTGGTAGGCCCCTCGAGCATGGAATGCCAAGCTTGACGCCAAGCTTGACGAGCTTGGGTTTCAACGGTGCGCAACTGAGCACGCGCTCTACATGCAGCGACGGGGGAAGGAGGAGCTCGTCGTCGGCGTGTATGTGGATGACTTAATCATCACCGGCGCGCGCACGGAGGATATCAACAGCTTCAAGCGCAAGATGATGACTCGTTTTCGAATGAGCGATCTCGGCGCACTCTCCTACTACCTCGGCCTCGAGGTGAGACAGGGGAAGGAGGAACTCACACTCGATCAGAGCGCGTATGCCTCCAAGCTGTTGGAGAGGAGCAGCATGGCTGAGTGCAAGCCATGCGTGACTCCGATGGAGGAGCGGCTAAAGCTGACGAAGGTCAGCACCGCGGCGAAGGTGGATGCAACACTCTACTGGAGCATCGTTGGCGGTCTGCGCTACCTAGTCCACACGAGGCCGGATATTGCGTTCATCGTGGGCTACGTCAGTCACTTCATGGAGGATCCCAGAGAGGATCACTAGGCTGTGGTGAAGCGGCTACTGCGCTACGTTAAGGGGACGGTAGATCATGGGATCATCTTCCCAAAGACTGACGAGAGTAGGCTGCAGCTCACTGTGTTCAGCGATGCAGACATGGCGGGGGACATCGACGGGCGACGGAGCACCTCTGGCGTGCTCGTCCTCCTCGGGTCGGACCCAATCTCATGGTTGTCGCTAAAACAGAAGGTGGTGGCGCTATCTACGTGCGAGGCAGAGTACGTAGTGGCGGCCACAGCGGCGTGTCAAGTTGTGTGGCTACGCCACCCGCCGAAAGCGAGCCGATCCGGCGTGGAAGCTCACCACCAAAGACGCGATGGTGGACAGAACCACCGCCATCGCCCTCGCGAAGAATCCGGTTCTGCACGACCGGAGTAAATACATCGACGTGAAGTTCCACTTCCTCAGGTACTGTGTCGATGGAGGGCAGATCGTCATCGAGTTCGTCGAAACTGATTGGCAACTCGCGGACGTCCTCACCAAGCCGCTCGGACGTCTTCGACTCACGGAGCTGAAGGAGATGATCGGCATGGAGGGGGTACAAGGGTTAGCAGTAGGATTATGGGAAGATTGTTAGATAATCTGCTGCTACCTTGTGTGAACACATCAAGTGGAAGGTGGCGCCGAAAAGGCCCCCTGCTGTGATACAATAGTCGCTGCAGGTGCAGGCGCCGAACTGCTCACCTGCAGCACTGTAGGCACATGCAGTGGCCGGCGCAGAGTCAGCCCTGTATGTTATCTAGTCACTGTTGTAGCAGGACAGCTGTACTGGGACTAGATAGATAGAGTTGTATAAATAGACATACACGGCAACTCAGTAAAGAGAGTTCAGATTTGCCATCTCCCAGACAGGGCTTCGGCCAACGTTGATGTCTTGTACTGTGTGTGCATGCTCTGTTCTTCCTTCTTCTTATAGCTCTAGCCATAGTGTGTGGAGACGGACAACGCTTGTTCGTGGTCGACACGGTTAGTGGGTGCTCAGCAACACTAGCGGGTGCTCGGTAAAACTGGTGAGTGGTTTACTCGCCTGAGCCGATGATCCTATGGGCCAACAGTACATGCCCAATGGCAGTTTAGACATGCTCCTGCGCTCTGAATGGAGAGGTCATTTAGGGTTCCTCAAGAGGCTGGATATCATGCTAGATGTATCGACAGCAATGGAGTATCTGCACCATGAGCATTACGATGTTATCCTGCACTGTGACTTGAAGCCTAGCAATGTGCTATTTGATGAGGAAATGATGGCGCATGTAGCAGACTTCGGCATCGCAAAGTTGCTACTGGGTGATGACAATTCAAAGATCACGGCAAGCATGCCTGGAACACTTGGGTATATGGCACCAGGTACTGAATGATATAACCTGTATACTATTGTTATATTAGTTTTGGTAAACCCATTGACTGGAATAAATCATTGATTAATTGTGGTTGATCAATGTGCTTAAAAGTTTGTTTCTGAATTCATGATCAGAGTACGGATCACATGGAAAGGCATCGCGCAAGAGCGACGTGTTTAGCTTCGGAATCATGCTCCTTGAAGTATTCACTGGGAAGCGACCCACAGATCCTATGTTTGTTGGAGATTTGAGCATCAGGCAGTGGGTCCATCAAGCATTTCCAGCGAAGCTTGTTCATGTTCTGGACGGCAAGTTACTGCTAGATGTGTCTTCTATCTGTGGCCTGAATCAACTTCTTTGCAAATATTTGAGGTGGGTTTGCTTTGCTCAAGTGACTCACCTGACCGGAGGATTTCAATGATGGACGTCGTGGTGACACTCAAGAAGATAAAAAAAGATTGTGAAAAATCGACAGTAGCGGCAGCGCAGCAATGTGGTACCCAATGATCGATTAGCCTTTGTGGGTAGTTTTTTTTTTGTTGGCTTCTTTTTTAACATAAATGGTAGCTCAGCCTCTTAATTAAAAAGAAAATAGTTAAAGAGCCTGTTTGGTAGGGTTCCTCCTGGCTCTAGCTCTGGCTCCTGTAGCCTGCCAAACGTTTTCCTAGGCAGAGGAGCCGGAGCCGTTTTGGATTTGTGGCTCCTCAAAAAGGCTCTGGTTCCTTTGGAGGAGCCGTGTCAAACACCCCCTAAGATAAAAAACAGCTAGCACACAATCCCCCTACTGCCATGTAAGGATACGCCGGCATACACAAGATAGCTATGAGAGCTAAGTGGTAGACCGATACGCCCGTTTATATTGCTCCATGCATTCCTTTGTTCTCTCCGCCACCTGCTGGTCTGTTAGGCTCGTGTTTTCAAAAATTCTCCGATTGCGCTCTTTCTATAGATTCCACATAATATAGATGGTCATTCCATTGAAATCTCGTCGCTGATTTTTTTTAACATGTTTCTCCGCTAGCTCCCACCAATCTCTGATATTGTAGAAATTTGAGGGGTGAGCCTGCTGGGGAAGCACAATATGCTCCCAGATAGCAACTTGGTTCCAGACTGCTTGGGCATAGGGGCAGAGTAGGCAGAGATGCTGCCCAGATTCCATCCGCCCATTGCATAAGGTGCAAGAGCTCTGGTGAGGCCAACCCCGAAGCGCTAGGCTGTCTGCCGTGAGAATTTTGTTTTCGATGAGAATCCAGGCGAATAATTTGCATTTATTTTCTATGTGTGCACGCCAAATAAGATTGGCTTTGTGACTTCTATAGGACCGGGCGGAGTATTTGCCGTCAGCTGTCCACTTCCAAGTGGTCGTATCCTCGGTCTCCAGGTGGGAAGTGTATTCCCTGTAATCTGATCCAAAGTGAGACAAACTCCACCTGAGTTGCGGTCATGATTTTGTTTTGTAAAGTTTTGATCCATGTGTTGTTCCATAGATCTTGTGCCACTGTCTTGTTTTTTCTTTTCACCAAACCATGTAAACCTTTGAGTTGCACTGCGAAAAATCATTAGCTATGGCCTTGTTGGCTTATTCTCCATGTAATTGTCATTCTTAAACAAAGATTGTTCACACTTTTAGGAACACAATTTTAACAAAAAACACTCAAATCTTACTTCATATTTTATATAGATGAGGTTGCTTGCTCCTCAGTGATAACTGTTTTGAGTACTCTGATAACTGTTTTGAGTGGGAGCTATGGTACTCTCCAAATTATGTTGCCACCGTATTGCCATTGCCATAGAATACACTATTATATATTATTTGTTACTGATCTATGTTAGAATAGAGAGGAGGGTTGTATCATTGTATGAATGGCAAGGTTGTATTGCATAGTCCCAATGGGCAATATATACTATATGTTATGTGCAAAAGTTCTTACGGTAACTTGATAGTTAGGAAGCCTGATCCAAATCCAACAAATCTCTCCGGTCCTGAGCAGCCTGAATAGAAATCCGATCTCAAGTAATTTGAATAGGATTCCTACATTGCTCGTATCCGAACTCACCCAAACTCACGTGGTAAAAAAAAAAAAGAAGTATGATTCCCACTAGCTTTAACCCAGGCCTCAGCCGTAGGTTCCAATATGGCGTCTGAGGCCGAGTTTGGGTCCATTGGGGTCTGGGACGATGCATATGGTGGGAGGATAAGGCGACGGGAGTTTTATACAAACCAACAATATACATCATGTAAAATATATAGCCGTCAACATATAGACTTTGTGTTAGGTAATTTTACATAAAAGTCATCTACTTTTGTGTTAATAACTATAAATCTAATGAATATAAATTGTATGTTTACATTTATTACACAAATAAAGATTTTTTTATTTTAACATGATCATGAGATGTAATTCTTTTTCGCCAGTTGCAATGCACATGCATATTTAATATCTATATTCTTATACAATGTCAAAAAGGAGAACTTTTCTCCAGATTTTCGTTCTTTACTCTCCCTCCCTCTCGGTTCATCTGTCTCTCCACTTCTCGGAACATAAGCGTTTTTATGGTTTCACTAAGAGTGATGAATTATTGATACGAGTTGTGATTAGTTTCTATCCAATCCATGACCTGAACTCACGATACTCATACGGGTTTAATTTGGAGAATAGCATATTTGAAAATCCTGTTGGTTTGGTACAAAGTATTGTTTTCAAGACGTATTAGAATAGAATAATTTGCCTTTAACAGACTTAGAATATGTATCTTCCGAGCACATTGTATTAGAATAGACATATCTTTGGCTGCGGACATATTATAGTTATAAAAAGAGTGAGGGCTATATAAAAAAGACGCGAAGATCATTTTGTTATATTATTATTATAATAAAAAAGAGTGAGGGATAATGTTATTTATCTTATGTTAAAAAGAGCAAAAGATAAATTGAAAACAAAAAGCAAATCCGGATTTGGATCGGGGGTATTGAACCCGACGTGAATCGAACACGCAACCTTCTGATCTGGAGTCAGACGCGCTACCATTGCGCCACGGATCCGGCTGTTCCATTGTGCAGTAGAGAATCTTTAAAATGCAATATTTCACTAGTCACACACACGCGGCTGCAGGTTGCTGGAGGATTTGTTTGTTTACCAGTTGGCACGTACAGACAGAGGGTCCCCCATCACAGCGATGGGTCACGGAATCCCGGCCAAAAGATCACACTAACCAACGGGCAACGGCACAAAACATCAGACGAAGCAAAAGGCAGACTTCTTTATCACAGACGGCGAAAAGAGATGAACTAGAGTCTAGAAGAGGCCACAACCCTTTCCACGCATTCCCTCCCCGCCACGCGGGCCCCATCGCCTCATCCCTCGCCCAATCACGGACCGCCATGTCAGATGGCCTCATCCTCCGTGCCTGCCACGTGGCTCTCCCCCATTCCCGCTTGCCCGGGGCGTCTCGCCTCGCCGCTTAGCACCAGCACCACCACTGCTTCCTCCAAGCCACCACCCCACCCCACACCTCGGCGCGTCCCGCTAAAACCCCCGATACCCAAACCCTACCTAGCCGCCTAGCTCCGCCCCTCCCGCGCGCCATGTCCGTCGCGTCCGCGGCGGCCGCAGCTTCCCTGGTCGCCCCATCCTCGCTCTCCGTCCCGGACCACCTCCGCCTCCGCCTCTTCCGCCTCCACCCCCGGCCCCCGCCTCCTCCACTCCCGTGCTTCCGCCGGCGATCGCGGGCCTGCCTCGTGCGCACCGTCCTCGAGGACCGCGCGCCCCCGCCGGCCGAGGAGGACGCCAAGCGCTACGGGCTCAACGGGAAGGGGAGCGGGCTCGGATACGACGATGCCGCCGTCCAAGCGTACCTCGGAAGCAACGGCAACGGCAACGGCGACGGCGACGGGAGCGCCAGCGGTAACGGCGCGGCGGTGAAGCAGGAGCCCGTGAGCAGCGTGGCCGTGGTCCCGGTCCCGGTCCCGCCGGCGGAGGATGAGAGGAGGAGGAAGGAGAGGGTGGAGGAGATCGGCAGGGAGGATGCCTGGTTCAAGCAGAGCAGCGGAGAGGTGAGTATTTTTTTTCTGTTTGCTTAACGGCTTATCATCTGCATATATAGCTGCGCGTGTGTTCTCCAGCGCCAGTTCTAAGTGGGTGATCATGTGGGATAGGATAAGGGCTGCTTTGACCAAAGTTAGTGAAATCAATGTATGTTTGGAACAAGTGTATTCGTGATACTCTAATTGGAATGAAGTTCAAATTTAGGTAAGAGTATAGTATCAGCAATTCAGCATCACATATCTTCAGAAACTACTACGTAGTTATAGCAGCAGCATCCACAAGCACTCTGGAACGAAAATTGAGGGGACGGTGTTGAAAATGCAACAGGATGGCTGGCTGGCTGGTTAGTTACGTAGATTACTGTGTCAGGTTGAGTAGATGATACACGGACCCAGCTTACCCTTGGCCTCTGATATATATTGCTGTCCAATTATCTGATGAAAGTAGCTGGAGTGTTGTGTCATTCACTGTGCTCCTTTTTCCTTTCCCTTTTGAGTTGAATAACTAAACCTTGCAGGTCGCTGTTGCTCCTGGTGGTCGCTGGAATCGGTTTAAAACCTATTCAACAATTCAAAGAACATTTGAAATATGGGGGTTCGTTTTTACATTTATATTCAAGACTTGGCTCAACAACCAAAAGTTCACCTACAGAGGTTAGTGACTTCAACTGAACACTAAAAAAAATACACTAACCTATAGAAGTTTGTTTTTGTATCTGCGGAAAATAACAATAAGTTCTTCCCATTTAGTGATGTATTTGTCTCACAGGTATCTTTCGTAAAAGTTACAAACATTTGCGAATACAATTGAATAAAATCCTTCATCTTATACAACAGCATGTGTGGCATGCTAGCCAACACACTGGATTCATATCTTTTACAAAATGGTGTTCATAATGCTTTCAATTTTTAGATGTTTTTGATATTGAAGAATTACCTACATGTTTCTTCAAAATTGTGTACCTTCAATAAAGCTCTAAGTCAACTTCTGCAGGGGGGATGACTGAGGAGAAAAAGATAATGAGGAGGAAAGTTCTTGCCAAGTGGCTAAAGGAGAGTCTTTTGAGATTAGGCCCCACATTCATCAAAATAGGGCAACAATTCTCCACCAGAGTGGACATTCTCCCACAGGAATATGTGGATCAACTATCGGAGTTACAGGTTTGTGTGTTGAAACTTATTCTAACTGCCGACATGCTTTGGTGCTTTTCCAAAATTGAGTAAACTGCTTTTCTCTCTTTAATATAAAGATACGCGCATCTCCTGCGTGTTCGACAAAAAATAGAGTAAACTGCAAAGACTCCAAAATTGATGGGTTGGCTCATTAGAGGAGTTGCTCTCCTGTTATTAAACAATTTGACCACCCTCTATTATGCATAAGCTGAAATATGCATTAAATTTAGTTCAGTTTACTAGATCAGCCTAGTGGATGATAAAATCTGCAAGTCTCAGATTGTGCCCTGTACATTGGTGTAGCAAATTAGCATTTATCAGTGGCTCAGTGCCCCATGTGAAGAAAATAGCTGTCTTGTGTAGTTATTAGAAGTTATCTTGTTTTTTTCTCTATATTTTTGTTAATGCACATTCCTATGCTTATATCCCTGTTATGATTGAACCATGGAATTATTACCTATTTTTGCAGGATCAAGTTCCTCCATTTCCTTCCAAGACAGCTGTAAAAATTGTCGAAGAAGAGCTGGGGGCATCTGTAAATGAGATATTTGATCGATTTGATTTTGAACCAATAGCTGCTGCTAGCCTCGGTAATTTTTTTTTATTTTAATAAGCAACTTGACACTATAATAATCTATCCCTTTTTGCCAGGCCAGGTTCATCGGGCACGTCTGAATGGCCAAGAGGTTGTGATCAAAGTGCAACGGCCTGGTCTGAAGGATCTGTTCGATATTGATCTGAAGAATTTAAGGGTAAGTTATTTATGTTACTAATCCTGTAGCATACCCTGTTTTCATTTTTTAGATAATGAAATAAAACATCCTGGCCTCTGCATCTAAAGATGCACACACAAGTGCTATTGTTGTTTACTAGTACCAAAAAAAAGTATGTCTGTTCTGTGTTGCCTATTTACCTACTTAAATGTGTTTCCATTTTTTACCATTTGCTAACAAATAACTGAATTGGATAGGTAATAGCTGAATACCTTCAGAAAGTGGATCCAAAGTCAGATGGCGCCAAGAGAGACTGGGTTGCTATTTACGATGAGTGTGCATCTGTTTTATATCAGGTAATTAGTTGTATGATCATGTGCTACTGTCTTAGACTTGTTTGACTACGTCTATTACTGATCATGTAATCAGTTCATGTTTTTTATCAGGAAATAGACTATACGAAAGAAGCATTTAATGCTGAAAAATTTGCTGAGAACTTCAAAAAATTGGAATATGTGAAGGTTCCTGAAATTTACTGGGAGTACACTACACCTCAGGTTTCTTCTACACAGAAAATACAAAATAGATCCAACAAGGAACTTGGTGGAATAAAGATTTTAAGTTTCTTTTATTTTCATTGCAGGTTTTAACAATGGAATATGTCCCAGGAATTAAAATTAACAGAATAAAGCAGTTAGATAAGTTAGGAGTCGATAGAAAAAGGTAAGTACTGTATAACTGTCAGCCATGAACTAAATTTTCTGTGCCAACTGACTTTGTTGCTTCCGGTCAATGCGAATCACTTTCAGATTAGGCCGTTATGCTGTTGAGTCCTACCTTGAGCAGATCTTGTCCCATGGATTTTTCCATGCTGACCCGGTTAGTTACCCTGTATATTCACCACAAACACTGTTTTAGTCATTATGGTTATTTCTCACCTTCGCATCATCCTTCACTTCATTTCTATCCATGCATTGGTCTGTTTTCAAATGAAGTAGAAATATAATATTTCGTTAAGAAAAGCTGTATCATTGAATTTATGAGGTCCCGTTGCCATCCTCCTAACCTTGGCAGATTTATGGCTCACTCTATTTGCAATATGCTTCAGCCATAGACAAAATCCTTTGTGCTATTACTTCGTTCTATCACAAACATATGTTCATCTAGGCTTGTTGTCGACAAAAGATGCTCGGCAGTCCACCGAGGGGTATCCCACGATGGTAGATTTGTCGTAGAGGTGAGCGAGATCAGGAGCGAGATGGTAATACAAGCACCAAGACACAAGATTTAGACAGGTTCGGCCGTCAGTATGACGTAATACCTACATCCTGTGTTTTGATGTATTGCATTGAGATGTATATGGATCGTGTCCACTAGGGGACCCCTGCCTCTCCTTATATACTCTGGAGGGGTAGGGTTACAAGGAAAGTAGCATATTTGGTACTATACAATATCTTGCAGTGCACGCCGAGCAGCGCCGTGCACGCCTTGATCTTGTGGGCTAAGCCACCTCTGATGGTGCGGCCCATGTCTTGTCTTGTGTATACCGGGGGTCATACCCCCACAGCTAGTCCCCGAGCTTGACAGTAGGTGACGTAGTCACGTGGTGCCAGGGTCAGAAAGTAGAAGACCAGCCGAGCATGCAGTCAGTCCTCGGGCGTAGCTTCAAGATGAGAAAAGCGCACATTCACTGCAAGGTGAAGTGTGCCCACTTAGTCCCCGAGTCTGCTGGAAGATGAAGAATGGTCAAAGAAAAAGAAGTCTGAAAGCTTTGCCGACGTCATCCGACATGCGCGTATCAAGACCCCAGACGTGCTGCCCAAGATCAGCACCCTGATCCGAACAGCATGGAGCAGCTTGATATCACACCGATGAGACGTAGCAAGATCCGACCACCAAGGGAGCACCGAGGAGTCCCCGGCGTCGTTGGCGATTGTTGATGCGGGACCCATAAGGTTCCCCACGGAGAAGAGAGAAGAAAACCTAGTCGAAATATGATTCTCTACATGTAATCCTACTAGGACTAGTTACACGTAATCCTACTAGGATCTCTATTTTGTAACCGACTAGGACTCCCGCCTCTCCTGGACTATATAAAGGAGGGCAGGGGTCTCTAGATCGAGACCTACAGAAGAACACCTACACATAACCGACAGAACTCACAACCACAACATATCTCGCAACACAACAAATAGCGCAGTGCGCAATATACTATCCACATCAGACTGGACGTAGGGCGCCGTGACTTTCCGGCGTTATGTATCCCGCAGCCCCAGACCCTTCATCCGATTTCTATTCTAAAGAAAAGTACTCGGAGAAGGCTCGGGAGGCTGTGGGATACATAACCCCATAAATTTTTGAAGACAAGAATCTGGACTCTCCAACTTTTGCAAGCAAAAGCAAGAGGCTCGGGGGCTACACTCAGTGAGTGCATTTTTTACGAAAAATTGCACCCACAGAAAAAGAACTCGGAGCAACCAAGAAGACTAAAAGGACCCTCTGGCTTCTTGTCCCAACAAGCAAGAGGCTCGGGGGCTACACTCACTGAGTGCACTTTTTTTTAAAAAAAAAGTGCATATCAGTCATGACGAACCAACCAAAAGAAGACCATCTCAAGGTTTCACTTCAGAAGAACCTGGAACGGATTTACAACAACTCAACGAAGGCCAAGAAGAACAAGAAGGCTTCCGAAGCTCATCCATGAGATGCTCGGGGGCTTGTCGATGCGGGACCCATGGGGTTTCCCACGGAGAAAAGAGAAGAAGACCTAGTCCAACTAGGATTCCCTACATGTAATCCTACTAGAACTAGTTACACGTAATCCTATTAGGATCTCTACTTTGTAACCGATTAGGACTCCCGCCTCTCCTGGACTATATAAAGGAGGGCAGGGGTCCATAGATCGGCACCTACACATAACCGACAGGACTCACAACCACAACATACCTCGCAACATAACAAATAGCGCAGGGCGCAATATACTATCCACATCAGACTGGACGTAGGGCGCCGTGACTTTCCGGCGTGCCGAACCAGTATAAATCATTGTCTTCCTGCGTTTACCATCGAGTTCCTGCAAACGCCGATACCCCTCCGAACAAATCACCGTCCCGGGTACCCCGTGACGGGTTGCCGGTGGTAAAACATCGACAGCGATGTCCGAGCACCGAAGAGCGAGGAGTCCCCGACGTCGCTGGCGATGTCTGAGCACCGAAGAGCGAGGAGTCTCCGGTGTCGCTGGCGGTGTCCGAGCACCGAGGAGCGAGGAGTCCCCGGCGTCGCTGGAGATGTCCGAGCACCGAAGAGCGAGGAGTCCCCGGCGTCGCTGGCGATGTTCGAGCACCGAGGAGTCCCCGGCGTAGGCGGCGATGTCCGAGCACCAAGGAGCGAGGAGTCCCCGGCGTCGCTGGCGATGTCCGAGCACCGAAGAGTGAGGAGTCCCCGGCGTCGCTGGCGATGTCCGAGTACCGAGGAGTCCCCGGCGTAGGCGGCGATGTCCGAGCACCGAGGAGAGAGGAGTCTCCGGCGTCGCTGGCGATGTCCGAGCACCGAAGAGCGAGGAGTCCCCGGCGTCGCTAGCGATGTCCGAGCGCCGAGGAGTCCCCGGCGTAGGCGGCGACGTCCGCAAGGTGAAGTGGTGTGAAGTGTGCCCACTTAGTCCTCGAGCACGAAGAATCCGAGGGCCGAGGAGTAACCGACGTAGCTGGCGATGAAGCACGAGCGACGAACAGTCTGGTCAACTGGTCGGCGACGAAGTCGATGAATCTAGCAGTCCGACCAGTTGATCGGTGGAGAAGTCCGAGCACCAGGTGATCCGATCACCTGGACGATGATTCTGCAATACAAATATGTAGAACGGGTAGTACATGATGTAAAAATATATGAACTCCGGAGAAAAATCAGCAATGGCGATGAAATAGCATATGTAGCTCGGCGATCAGTTGGTGTGAAGATGTAATTATATTTAATATAAACCGCCCGAACAGTTAGTGTGTAGCTGAGTCTCCAGCCCTAGCTAGCCCATAGTCCATAACGTCGAGCGCAGAGCCCGTGCACATGTAGGAGGAACAGGCGTGACCAAGGAACCGCTGCCGACCACCCATAACGCAGAGCGCGGAGCCCGTAGCACGTGTAGGGAGGAGCCGGAGACAGAGTCGTCTCTGAAGGCGTCCGAGCATCAACATGACTGTTCGAGGGTTCGTAAAATCGTTTGGAGAGCAAACATGGAGAAAACAGCTCGGAGAAACATTATGGGGATATACGAAGATTGGAGAATACTTAGGAGAATATTAAAGCGTGACTTAGCTTTAGACAGAAAGCGGTCGGCGACGTATAGCGTTATCTGGTCGGCGTTGACGGCGAGCACCTGGCGGGCGGTGAGTTGTTGGTGAAGACGACCTCGGAGGTGGTTCCGAGATCGGATCTGCTGTCGCGGGGGCTGGTGTAGCCAGCGATGAATCGTCGTCGTGGACCGACATGGATCTCCACGAGATTGATGACGAGAACGTGTTGTTGATTTGAGGTCCATCTGGCTCGCCATGGGATCAAGCGCACACCCCTACCTGGCGCGCCAACTGTCGACAAAAGATGCTCGGCAGTCTACCGAGGGGTATCCCACGATGGTAGATTTGTCGTAGAGGTGAGCGAGATGGTAATACAAGTACCAAGACACAAGATTTAGACAGGTTCGGCCGTCAGTATGACGTAATACCTACATCCTGTGTTATGATGTATTGCATTGAGATGTATATGGATCGTGTCCACTAGGGGACCCCTGCCTCTCCTTATATACTCTGGAGGGGTAGGGTTACAAGGAAAGTAGCCTATTTGGTACTATACAATATCTTGCGGTGCACGCCGAGCAGCGCCGTGCACGCCTTGATCTTGTGGGTTGGGCCACCTCTGATGGTGCGGCCCATGTCTTGTCTTGTGTATACCGGGGGCCATACCCCCACACTTGTCCTAAGTCAAAAAAATTTAGCTTTGACCATCAATATAAAAAGTTTTATATAGACTGAAAACATAAGATTAACGTTACTAGATCTTTTATGGAGAATACTTCCAGAATATACAATTCTTTCAATGAAGATGATATATTTCATAGAAATGCTAGTCAAAGTATCAGAGTGGAGACCATGTCAATGCCATAATGGACATGTATTTGTGAGCGGAGGAAGTATGTCTTATAAAGTTATAATACAAATTTCATGAAACTGAATCATCCCTATTGTCTTCTTGCTCCTTTTTAGTATCTCTAATAAAACAGTTGCTATACTCTGTGTTAAAAGCTAATGGTGATTTCTTTACAGCATCCAGGAAACATTGCTGTTGATGATGTCAATGGAGGGAGACTTATCTTCTATGACTTTGGGATGATGGGAAGGTAACATTTGCCCCCCCCCCCCCCCCTCTACATAAGTTTCATTTCATGAGAAATTTTGCATCTCAGTATGGATAATAATCTTCATCCTTCCAACTTCCAGTATCAGTCAAAATATTCGGGGAGGATTGCTTGAAGTATTCTATGGAGTTTATGAAAAGGATCCTGACAAAGTTAGTTCTCTGGGCATAATAGCCAGCAGATGATAATTTATACCCTGTGATGTTCTGGGAAGTGTTGAATCCTGTATTCCTGCAGGTGCTTAAAGCAATGGTTCAAATGGGTGTCCTTGTTCCTACTGGAGATATGACTGCTGTCAGAAGAACAGCTCAATTTTTCCTTAATAGGTAGTTACTTTTCCTTGAGAAGCTTGAGAGTTGTGTGTTATTTCATTAAAGAAAAAAGAGTAACCAAATACAACACCGCCCTTGAGAAGATGTTACCTTGTAGCAAATGGAGTTTGTTGAACTGGAAGAGCGTGATTTTTTTTTTTTTTTGAACAAGATGAGCATGATGTTTGACTTTGTTCTTTTTACGTCTATTATTTATAGCTTTGAAGAGCGTCTAGCAGCACAACGGAAGGAGAGAGAGATGGCAACTGCAGAACTGGGATTTAAAAAGCAATTAACTAAGGAGGGGAAGTTTGAAAAGAGGAAGCAGAGACTTGCTGCAATTGGTAATGTTGTGACCTACCAACAGACTTGACAGATGGAAATATGTCAGGGTTTATTCTACAAATTTTATTATGTTGACTTGAATTAAATTTTGCAGGAGAGGATCTTTTGGCGATTGCGGCTGATCAACCATTTCGCTTCCCTGCCACATTTACATTAGTGGTCAGAGCATTCTCAGGTTTCAATGTCTAATAATTTACATGTTTACAAGGAAATTGTTATTATACTGTCATTCTACTCAGGCTTTCTCCATTTTATGCAGTTCTAGATGGTATTGGGAAAGGCCTTGATCCTAGGTTTGATATTACAGAGATTGCTAAGCCGTGAGTACTTGCTGCATTACTAGCATCTCAATACTTTTTCAAAAACATGCAAAGGTTGCACATCTTTATATTTTCAGCTTGACCTTTTCTGGTGCTGACTTGACATGTCTGTTAAATTTGCTAGATATGCCAAGGAATTGCTAAGATTTAATGAAGCTGGTGTTGAAGTAGTTGTGAAGGCAAGTTTCAACATTTGGTCAAAGCTGTTAACCTATCTCTATGATAGCATATCTCCTAAGTATTTTCATACTGAGAGTTAAATGCTCTTGATTGCAACATTATGTCAGGATGCAAAGAAGAGATGGGAAAGGCAGTCCCGTGCCTTTTACAATTTGTTCCGCCAACCCGACAGAGTTGAAAAGGTCGCACAAATTATTGAACGTTTGGTATGTGCATCATTTGCCAACATTATTTTGTTGTGTATTGGTGTTATTTGCACATGTCCTCTTGACGAAAGTTTGTATGATTGAACTCAATGAACTGCTGTTTTAACAGGAGCAAGGTGAACTCAAGCTTCGTGTCAGAACACTGGAATCGGAAAGAGCATTTCAAAGAGTTGCCGCTGTACAGAAAACAATTGGATATGTGAGTTCAGAATTATTAATATATTGTTTAACTTTTTTCCTATGTTACTTCATGCTGAACCATGAAAAGACAAGGGCAAACTTGTCTGCTGGATGACACTGTCACTGAGTGCATGCAAATTCAGTTAGCCTGCACTGGAATTGTTAAAACAAATTTGACAGAGAGTGCCTGCAAATTCGATACGAGAAATCTGATCAAGTCATCAAGAGAAACAGCCCTTATATCATGAAATTGTTTTCTTTCTTTGATACTGCACTTTTTTTTCCTGAAGTTCCATATCATCATAATGTGTCAATCTTGCTCTTTGTCATCCAGGGAGTTGCTGCAGGTAGTTTGGTGAACCTTGCAACAATGTTGTACTTCAATTCAATCCGGGTGAGTTTGTAAACAAACTGGAGTATATCATCCATCAATTTCTAGCACATATTTGTTCTCACCTGATCTTCAAATCTTCAATAACTGTTGCAGGGACCAGCAACCATTGCATACTCCCTCTGCGCATTCTTCGGGCTGCAAATTCTGATCGGGCTTGTCAAGGTTAAGAAGTTGGATCGGCAGGAGAGACTTATAACCGGCACTGCCTGAGCTATGAGTTCTTGATCAATCGGTGGAACTGAACCGTCACTTTTCAGCGCTGTGCGCTGTCGTCACGTCTCCTTTTTTGCCTTCTTTTTTGCCCATTTTACCCCAGCACGATTTAGCATAGGCACGGCCTCCCGTTGTATGATAGCTGTATGTAGATGCGATAATAATAGATAAAGATGTACATAGTGTACAACAGAAATTCTACATGTATTGTTCGCTTCCATGGTGTAGCAGATACGTACAGTACATGATTTTCTTTCAAATGATGATTCAGGGTTAAATGATTGATTTGGTGATTTTATTTGTCTTGAGTAGATGCTGTACTGTAAGTTAATGATGGATGTGGCACGATAGATGACGCGCCGTAATGTTAATGGTATTGCTGTGAACCGGTCGTCCGTCCGGACGCTCTGTTGCTGTGTCACGACGCTGGCCCAACAATTCATGCTCCTATATTTTTTTTAAAAAAAACTGCCCATCCACTTATTTCTATCCATTCGTTTATCTTCCTATCGCTCTTATCCGCTCGCCTGCCGCCTCCGAGCGCACGGCCGTTGACCCTCCGAGGCGCACTGCCGGCCGCCTTCGAGGCACACCGCTCTGCCGCTGGCCTTGCCAGGCATAGCGCGCGACCGCCTCCGAGTTGCGGCGCATGGCTGCCGACCTTGCTAGGCGCGGCGCGCTGCTGCCCTCTCCAAGTCGCGTTGCCGTGGCCTCCTCGCTGCTCATGTGGCCGGTGCCTCCCTTCTGCGACGTGTAGCCACTGCCGCCCGCCGCCTACAAGCGCCGCCGAGCCGCTGCCTTCGGTGAACACCACACACCGACGAGCCTCCATTCTGCCGAGCAGCAAGGAGATGTTGTGTTGAAAGCATATGTTGTAAGAGTATGTTTCAGTTGTTTCAAATGTTTCAGAGGTATGTTGAAAGTGTTTCATATGGATGTTGCAAAAATAGATCATGATGTTGCACATGTTGCAATGGTTGTACACGTATGTTGCAAACGTCTGTTCCAAATGTTGCATCTGCTTTTTCAAACGTATATTGTAAGTGTACTTAGGGGGTGTGTTAGATTGGGCTGTTAAAGTTTAGCTAGCTAATTTTAGTCTCATTTAATCACTTTTTACCTAAACACTATGACTAAATGGGATTAAATGGATATTTAGCCAATTAATCAACAAGGGGTTGCTAAATGGGACTAAAGCCCAGGCTGCCTCACATTTTAGTCACTTTGGATCTAAACACCTTGATTAAAAGGGACTAAAAAGCTCTTTTAGTCCACCAAACTAAACAGGGGTGGCTAAAGTTTAGCAACTAGTTTAGCTGTCTAAATTTTAGCAGCTTCAATATAAACAGGGCCTTATTCGGATGTTGCACATGTTTAACACATATGTTGCAAGAGTAGTGTTCGAAATGTTTCAGTTGTTTCAGCCTTATGTTGCAATGAGTGCTTTCATGTTGCAAGTTGCAAGTGTTTTATTTAGATGTTGCATATATTTCACACACATGTTACAAGTGTATGTTTCAAATGTTTCATCTGCTTCAGATGTATGTTGCATTCAAGTGTTTCATGTTGCAAGTGTTTCGTGTTTTAGAGGTATGTTCAGATAGTCATTGGGGGCACGGCCCGGGCGCCAAGGAAGGGGCGCGACGAGCCGGGGCTGGCGGATAGGGCGTGCTCGTCCTCATCCCGGCTCCCGGGTCCCGCCCGCATGGAGAGAGAGGAGGGGTCAGGGGAAGGAGCGGTGGGTGCGGGGCGGGGCGAGATGGACGGGACAAGGTACGTGTGTGTGGCGGGACGAGGAAGGACTGCAGCGGTAAGGTGGGAGTGCGGGGTACCGGTCCATATCCCATCGGAAGCGCCAGCAATTCCCGAGAAATAACGTACCTATGCGTATTTGTATCTGTCCATATCCAACCATTTGCACCCTAGGTAAGAGGAAATTGTAGCTGCAGCAATGTCTACCGATGAGACCCTACGAGGATTTGTCTGTCATCAATAGTGAGCCGCCTGTTTCTGTTAGGGTCTCAGGGATGAAAACGAATAGAAACGGACAAAAAATCAGCTTAACTGTTTTCATTTTCATATTTGATCATCAGAAACGGGACTAGGACCGTGGGTCCGTGGTAGCTAGGAATAGAACGAAAACAGGATATGCGAGAATACAGAAACAAGGACATCGCTTAGTTTGCCTATACGGCTATTTGACATGTTAGGAGCCTTGCTGAAGTGCCTCACGGGCATATACCCCTTGGGAGGAGTTTCTAAATTGTTTAACTAATATTTGTCGTAAAGACAATGTTCAAAGGTTGCTATAATGATAACTTTTTAAGTTTATCCCATATTTTGTAAACACAGATCTATCTTCACCAAAAATAGAATCCCGAAAAAAACAGACAGGAAACACCTCATTTCGCTTTTCATCCTGTACTGCTGTAAATGGTGCGAGTCTGACACGTAAGCCAAACACCTAGTACATATATTAGGCTCATATTTAGTTGTGTATCGTCGATTCAACGATTATCAATTGTACTATTGCAATTTTACACAAAGAAAACCTTTTTTTTGCGAATTTACACAAAGAAAACCTAAATAGATTTTTCAAGATGCAAAAAGGCATACTAAGCTATGGCAAAACGTGTTCTGCATAGCACGTAGTACAATTGGACGATCGCTGCTACATTCCCCGGACCACTACAACAATGCTTTAGAAATTCACCCTCAGATACACGAATTTTCAACTTAACACAACTGCAGCCTACCCCCACCTTCTGAGGCTAGCGAGGAATCCAACCCCCCCGGTCGATTCAACGATTATCAATTGTACTATTGCAATTTTACACAAAGAAAACCTTTTTTTTGCGAATTTACACAAAGAAAACCTAAATAGATTTTTCAAGATGCAAAAAGGCATACTAAGCTATGGCAAAACGTGTTCTGCATAGCACGTAGTACAATTGGACGATCGCTGCTACATTCCCCGGACCACTACAACAATGCTTTAGAAATTCACCCTCAGATACACGAATTTTCAACTTAACACAACTGCAGCCTACCCCCACCTTCTGAGGCTAGCGAGGAATCCACCCCCCCAAAAAAAAAAATCCCTTCAAATTGTCGCTAACAATTCCAAAAGGTACCTTTCATATACACAAACAGCAATTAGACTGAATCTTGGCAATTCAGTGTTGAATTCTTTCGTCGGAGTCGTGGAGTGGCTACCTTGGGCCGGACAGCTCCACGGCACGAATGTTGTACGTGGAGTCGACGATCCAGTCATTGCGTAGCGGTGCGGACTCAGCCTCCTGCCTCACCACCTCCACTTTCTGCCACTGGTCCCAACGCTCTGCCAATCCATCACCTTCGAGCATCCTCACCACCTCCGACATCTTTGGCCGGTCCAACGGGGAGCCCTGCGTGCAGAGGAGTGCCACCTGGATCAGGTTCTCCACCTCGATCTCCTCGTAGGCGTTCTGCAGATCTGGGTCCACCAGCATCTCCACCTTCTTCTCCTTCAGCAGTCCTTTCACCTGCAAGATGCCAATTGTGAATTATTCATTTATGCCAGCTTGTTTTTGTCAAGAACAATCCATTAGTTCCATTGTTCGGATAGTTGAACATGGTTTTATAATGCAGCAGGCATATGGCAGGGCGACTGATTGCGCATTAGCATATTGTAGGCATGATGGATGTGTCCCCTGGAGGGTGAACTGCCCAGCTTATCACTTGCCAGTGCACGCTCTCTAATTAAGAAAATGGATTAAGGGCACTTCATGATTACAGAGTTAGCTTTAACACCAATCTTTAAGAAACTAATAAAATATGGAACAGCCCATAGACAGCAAAACAGTATGAAAGAAAAAGGACGACAACCACCGGCACCGCCTATCGTCCCGCCGCGGAACTCCAGCGAGACCCTACCACGCCCGCGGCGGTCTCCAACTTCCCCTCCCCCGCCGTCGCCATGGCCATGGTCGCCCCCACACCAATCCCGCTCGGCCTCCTCCTCCGCCGCCCGCTCCGGCGGAGTCACCGCGGCCTCCGCCTCGCCGCTGTCTCTCCAGTCCCCACCGCTGGGCCCGCCTGCCTCCCCTGACCCCTTTCTAAGCCCGCCGGAGATGGAGAAGAGAGGGAGAGTGTGGGCGTGGGTCGAGCGCGACCCGTCCTCGGATAGAGTTTGCGAAAGAAAAATGTATAATCTGTAGTGCAGTAATACTGTATGACACACTGACTATTGAGAAGAAAAGTTACGTACCCAATCAAGAAGCATAACATCGTCATCATTTGCAAGACGAGCAAGATCAAATGCCCTCTGGCCAGTAATAAGCTCCAGAAGCATGATCCCATAGCCAAAAACATCAGTCTTTTCAGAGGACTTGCCAGTGGATAGGTACTCAGGAGCAATGTGTCCAATTGTTCCACGAACAGCAGTTGTGACATGGGTATCCTTGTAGTCCATAAGCTTGGCAAGCCCGAAATCACCCACAACTGCCTCAAAGTCCTCATCCAAAAGAATATTTGCAGCTTTGACATCCCGATGGATGATTTTCGGATCGCAGTGATCATGCAAGTAAGAAAGTCCTCTTGCAGATCCAAGTGCAATCCGTCTTCTTGTTTCCCATTGAAGAGGTGGCTCAGATGGCTGGCGCTCTATGGAATCAGAAAGACTAATGAGACAAGGAAGCTAATATTCTGCTTGTTTAGTTGGGGCTATGGAATCAGTATTTAGAATAAAGAACAAAGTACCTCGTAAACGTGATGCCACACTCCCATTAGCCATGTATGGGTAGACTAGCAACCGTTCAGTAGGTGTCATGCAGAAACCACGAAGTCTGAGAAGGTTCCTGTGCACTGCCATGCTAATCATCTCAACCTCTGTTTGGAACTGAAGCTCACCACCAGGTGTCCGCTCCTCTTTTAGTCTTTTCACTGCTACCAAAGAGCCATCAGCAAGCCTTCCCTTGTACACTTTTCCAAAACCACCTCTTCCTAAAATGTTCTTG